CGCTGGCGCATCTTTCCTGCGTCCCGCTGGTGCCCTCGTCATGGCTGTTGCCGCCGCTCTTCTGTAAATTGTCAAGCCAATTCAGGGAGCGGCGCTTTGATACTGCAGAAAGACACTTTGCTCGCATACTAGATTAATGTTTTGATGGATGTGAATACTGTCCCGACTCAAGACGCAATCGGTGTTGAGTAAACGGTTATATGTAACATAATGGGAAAAGATTTTTTTTATTTTAACACGTCTTTAGGTAATATGGGATGTGTTGTGTTTTTTTTGTTTAATGGCAAACTGTCTTGAGGATTCGGTTCATAACATGCAGTCTTATGTCGACTAGCTAGACAGCGTCAGTTGCGGCCAAAACGGCCACCTAATATACCATATCGTACGACATTATATGCAATTTGGCTTCTATTTTTCTAAGCGTGTTTATTCGTGTGATTGAGTGTTGATATTAATCGAGGTCGTTGGAATCGCAGCTGCGGTCACAAGGAGCAAGAGCCTCCATCCGTCTATATTCTAATAAACTAGAGGTAGCAATATTGAGCTATGAATTAAAGAAACATTGAATTCTTTTCTCAATGCCGTTGGGACCTGCTGTTCTAGCAGGCAATTTACCATCCGCGTGCTTAGGATGGGACTACGTTTATCGAGATGCTTCTCCGTCACGTACGGACTCTCTTGTTGGCTCGTGATGGGGGCCTGTTTGTTGCTCTAGCGGAGGGATACATCCCCTCACATAAGCGCAAGCGCAAAAGACAAGCGCGGTCGTGACGTGACGCTAGTGGTAAGTCGTCCAAGTCGGGAGATGTGGATATGAATAGCTCTGTTCGCATGCCCACAACACAAACTCAATGCACGACGCGAAGCTGTAAAGAGCAGGGAACAAACAGGAAAAGAGGAAGGTAATGACACATAGATTGCATCAATTCACACTGTCTACACCGGGGGTATGGGGCGGCGCTGGACGTTGGACAATGAATCCATGCATCATGGAGTGTCGTCAAATCTGGGCCCACACATGTGTTCCCCTGCCCTGTTCGGGATGTTCAGGATGGCTTGAGCTTTGGAATGGGCACGTGGACGTTCATCCATCCGCTTCAAGGGCTGGGTTCTTGCAGCAAGCGCGAGAAGCAGTGGGCTTTGCAGAAACAACCCTGGGATCCGACGCTGTGTTCCTTCGTCATGGGCCTTGCTTGCTGATTGCAGACGAAAAAGAATATACGGAGCACAGTTCGACAAATGACGCCTTGACCAAAAGACTACAGTCAGGCCCTGTGTCTCTTGAGTCAAATCCCACCTCATCTTCAAGCTACGGATTCCTCTATAAATTGTATGTTCCTCATGACAAGCTTCACTTCCTTGAGGCGGTGGAGCCCTTTCCTCGTTGAAAAACAGAGTGTTCTGCACAGGAGGGTATCCTTTGTTCCCAGACATCTCGTATTTCCTTCTCGTTGTCTTATAAGACCACCATCACGTTGCAGTGGTTAGTGCAGCGATCTGCACGCCACTTGTCTCAAGCCCCCTCGTTCATCGCCCGACAAAGCATGTCAAATCTCAAAAGACTGAGAATCAGGCTCTTGGCCCGCCAAAGAATAACCTTGCGGGCTTGAGACAAGTGGGAGGGTTGGTTGGGCAGCATCAACACTTTGATAATACGTGCATCAAAATGACTTTTAATTGACCTACTAGTTGTTGTAGATGCCTGTGTTACAGTCTCCCTAACACTCTGTTTAGTTTTGCTCCAGTTTGGCGTCTTCCTTCACAACGAAAGTCTTGATGGCTCAGATTCATCTCTAGCCATCCAACCGGTAGAGTGAACATGACGATCGAAGTAACATCTTTGGTCCAATGATGTTGTTGTCTTTAAAACTTGCCGTCCATAGACTCGTGGGTGGATAACGTCTCCGCACTGGAGCTATCTTCTTCCTCTGATCCAGATGTGCGCGCCGGCTCGTTTGATGTCTGTACTGAAAGGAGACGTACGAATTGTATCCCGCCCGCTGACCAATAGTATCATTATCGAATTGCTTCTAGAAGAAGAGGAACGGGCATATGAATTTTAGTCTTCGTAGTAGCTCTCTACTCTTCTAGTATGGAATCGCTGGCGGTTTAGTAGGGGACATGTCACAATGGGCGTGGCAGTCGGGAAAACGCCCGTTATTAGGAGCTTCAATAGTCTCATCATGCGTCAGGTCCAAATTCCCAAACGAAGCTCCTCGTTGCTATTCGTCTCCAGTTGGATTGCATAAACATCCCCAGGTCTGCTCGTTTTCACGAAATCTCACGTACACTCATTTGTCTTACCCTATACCGTGGAAGGGTCCTTCGCACAAAGGATTTAACAGGTTCAAGCATGCTATTTTGATTCCTGAGACTACAGACACAAGGTATTTTATACTTAATTTATTGAAAACCCACGTTCAGGTTTATCAATTCCACTCTGTTGATATTTGTGTTGACAAAAAAAACCAACGCGATATTCTTAGTCTAGTATTTTAATGTTCAACTTAGTACACGTCAAGCAACAACTGCTGCGCAAGACACAGTCTCGCACTTTGGATAACCCCGAGCGAGCAAGTCTACTACTTGGCCGTGTAAAGCTTGCTCATACATCTTGCAGTGGGAGGCAATAATTATGTGCACACCGTCACTCGTGTCACGTCCCGGGCCGCCATAGAGGGGATTGACAAATGCTTTATTTGCCTCGGACTGCAGAATTGTCTGCAGATAATGTTAAGCTGGGCTACAAGACGCGTGCGCCTCTGAGAATGGATCTCAGGACACCTCTAACCGGCAAGGCCGTCATGCAGAAAGATGTTCCTCCAACAGGCTGTACCACCTGCCCATACGAGTAATTTTGATATCTGATGGTGCCTGAGTGCGTGCGCGCGCGACTATTACCCGCGTGACGCAACGAGGAGCGGAATCACACGCAATAAAAGAAATGCACAACACCAACACGGGACGAGACTGGAAAGCAGCCTTGCGAGCTGATTAATATCTGCGCGTTGGCTGCAGCAACACGCAAGCCTTACCCGGACACAGTCGGTAGGGGGGGATTACTGCTTGGCTCCAACGTCCAACGGGGCACAATGTTTCTCGAAGCTCGTTCGTCGCATCCTCCGACACCAAGAGAGCCCCAACTGTCGAGGCCGGAGGATGCCCGCGTTTCGCTGCCCAGCTCATGCAGTCCTTTTGCCGACCAGAGACACGATCTGAGATAAGACGTTTTCACGGAGCCGTCGAGGCAGTGCTCAAGACTTCGGCCGAGAAGCTGAAGGGCTCAAGTCCAAGTCCTGATCGTCAAGGCTTTCCTCTACGTTTCGGAATTCGCGTTAGGAGCGGGTGGTGTGGGATGTGCCTGGCTCGTTTCTCTTCTGCCGAGCATGGTCAACAAAGGCGTAAGCGCGATTTAACATGATAAGCGCATCATGCAGCTGCCGGGAAGTTGGCGTGTTCTGCTTCGCCACGGGTGAGACGGGGAAAGCCAAGAAGATGACACGGTGGGGCAAAATCTGCAGGACCAGGGCATATCGAAATCTCGATAAGCGGAACGCTGGGATGAAACTTCACGGAATGGCCGAACGGATGAAAATATGCATAGCTTGCGTGGCCCTCTTCCATCCAAGGAGGGGGCCAAAAGAGACAATGATGATGCTCTGAGGGTCAATTGCTCGGGGCGCTCACGCCCCACCACGCCCCAATTTTAGTCTAGCGGCCCCGATTCCAGACCCCACAGTACATTTTCAGTTCAAATGCATAGCAGTAAATGCCCTTGATTAAATGATAAGGTGCTTGTGTAATTTACATGATTTTTTTAAGCCGCTATACACTTTCAGGCTAGATTTTTTCTTTATAGTGTTAAAGAAGGAAAAACGCTGTTACCCGCTAAAAAATTCGTACGGCTATAGCTTTATTAAAAAATCCGTTAATTTTTAATTGAGCTTTTTAGTGTTAAGTAAAGCTACCATGCATTTATACTAAGAATGTACTATAGGGTCTGGTAGTGGGGTTAACCGAAGAAAAATTGATGAGCGCCCCGAGCAATTGACCTCTGAGGGGGAAAAAATAGCAAGACTTCGGCCGAGAAGCTGAAGGGCTCAAGTCCAAGTCCTGATCGTCAAGGCTTTCCTCTACGTTTCGGAATTCGCGTTAGGAGCGGGTGGTGTGGGATGTGCCTGGCTCGTTTCTCTTCTGCCGAGCATGGTCAACAAAGGCGTAAGCGCGATTTAACATGATAAGCGCATCATGCAGCTGCCGGGAAGTTGGCGTGTTCTGCTTCGCCACGGGTGAGACGGGGAAAGCCAAGAAGATGACACGGTGGGGCAAAATCTGCAGGACCAGGGCATATCGAAATCTCGATAAGCGGAACGCTGGGATGAAACTTCACGGAATGGCCGAACGGATGAAAATATGCATAGCTTGCGTGGCCCTCTTCCATCCAAGGAGGGGGCCAAAAGAGACAATGATGATGCTCTGAGGGTCAATTGCTCGGGGCGCTCACGCCCCACCACGCCCCAATTTTAGTCTAGCGGCCCCGATTCCAGACCCCACAGTACATTTTCAGTTCAAATGCATAGCAGTAAATGCCCTTGATTAAATGATAAGGTGCTTGTGTAATTTACATGATTTTTTTAAGCTACTGTACACTTTTAGACTGGACTTTTTCTTTGTGGTGTTAAAGAAGAAAAAACGCTATTACCCGCTAAAAAATTCGTACGGCTATAGCTTTATTAAAAAATCCGTTAATTTTTAATTGAGCTTTTTAGTGTTAAGTAAAGCTACCATGCATTTATACTAAGAATGTACTATAGGGTCTGGTAGTGGGGTTAACCGAAGAAAAATTGATGAGCGCCCCGAGCAATTGACCTCTGAGGGGGAAAAAATAGTCATGATGCAAAAGCCTAGAATTTTTGCTCGCACGATTGCGTGCCACCGCCCGCTGCCACACAGCCACCCCTGTCATGAGCAGCCTTCAGAATTGGACACTTAGGCGCCGAGCGCTTAACTGCGCGGCAAGGATGGAGATCCTTTCGCGCCAAAGCATTCAGTCTTCGACTTCTACATACCCATGTCTGGCGCTTACCCAGGAGCTGAACTGTGGCCTCACGCGAGCGGCGCAACAAGCATGTTTTGGGAGCTTGGCTCCACGCGGCGTCCTCTTTCAACCTCTCCTTGCTTGCTTTCTTGCA